ATTGATTTAGTGGACAAACAGTGCAGCTGTTCAATGAGTCCTATAGATAGATTACTTAAAAATATACCCCACAAAAACACCATGAGTTCGAGTTGTGATTGACAAGTTTTTTTAAATGATGCATTCCTAGATTAACATACTTTCTTCCTTTTGGAAATGCATAACAAATTCCCAAATTCTTAATACTAAAGAATACATATGAATTAAGCACCATGCCAGGCACATGGTAGATATTCAGGACATATTTATGGAAGGAATTAATCAGCAGCACTCCCACTGGAGTGATATCTCAGGAATTCCCCTGGCATACGTGGGTAGAAAGATCCCTTTCTTCTTCATTGAAGTGTTTCTTTTGAACCCCTAACCCATTACATCTGGTTGTTTCTAATGCCATAGGGAACAATAGTTATATTAGTAAATTGGCTTTATTCTAAATCCACTATTCTCTTCATGTGCCAGAAGTCTGTAACACTTAAACACTGATTGTGTGCTAGGACTGGTGCAGCAAATTGAAAAAGTAAGAACTGACAAGTCAGCATTGGTAAAATTGTAAACCAATCAGAATTTAAATAAAACACTAAAATTATTTTTAAAGCCTTCTTTCAATGAGAATCTATATTTAAGATGCAATAATAACAAATTGTCTTCCAAATATCCTAGTAGAGCTAAAATTACTGTTCGTATTAAAAAGAAGACCATTGTAAATGCAAGGTTTAAACAAATAATCCGGCATCTCAGTCAATTCTTTGATCTTTCAAGCAGAGGGAGTGAATGCCTATAATGGGCTAGCTAGACTGTGTCTTGCTCTCATAGTATCATCAGAACCGCTGGGTGGGCGTGCAGTGTGGCTTCCCAAACAGTCTCATCCTCTAAGGAGCTAAGGTTCATTGTACTGACGTCACCATTCCAAAAAGTCAGCTACTGCTTTCCCTCTTATCACTGAAATATCACTCCAAAAAGTCAGCTACTGCTTTCCCTCTTATCACTGAAATATCACTCAGGTTTGCTTCCCACTCACAGTTTGTAATTTGGCCTCAATGAACTCCTTTGACCACATCTCTTCTCCACAAAGTAACTGTCCATGGAGCTCTAGAAACCAGTACTGAATTAACAATGCTGAAGCTTAAATGCTGTCATGAGGCATCACACTCTAGAATGAACTTCTAACAAGTTCATCAAGTATTTTTTCTTTACTACCTTGTCCTGATGGTCTTGACAATGGGCTACAAATGCACTAAACTTAAGTATAAAGTTCTTCCTTTATAAAATGTACCTACAACCACCTCCCTTATGTACCCACTCCACACACCCAAACACACATATATTTCAGTTTTTAAGCAGCATGATGGCTGTTTCTGAATGAACTCAACCAGTTACCATGGCTTCTGTCTGATGAACCTAATGGGGGCTGAACTTAAAATTATCTACTGACAAAAGAAATCAAGAAACCAGAGTACTGAGTTTGAGTCATATTAGCTTCAAATTTTACTGAATTAAAGTGCATGTGTTTGTAGAAATATGAACAATTATTTTGTTAGGATTTTTAAGTCAATAGTTTCATCCCCACAAACATTCTTAACTCTTCAGTTTGGCAACAGACAATAACTTTATGGGGGGCGGGGGGGTTTGAAAAAGTCCTTGGCTTCAGGAAGTCACAAGTAATAGCAAGAAATTTTAACAGTCAAGGACAACGTGGTTAAAGGCTAGAATTGCTCTTTTGAGCACAGTTTCAGATTACTACAATGTGAGGGTTTGTCACAATCTCTTTACAAACAGGCTAAAGCCACTGAGCAAGGATGTACTTCATGAACACATACAAACATCAAGGATTTTTCTTCGGCCCTGGCTGGTGTGGCTCGGTTTGTTGTGGGTTGGACCCCCCATCAGGGTGCATGTGGGAGGCAACTGATCGATGTTTCTCCCTCAGATCAATGTTTTGCTTTCTCTCTCCATTCCTTCCTCCCTTCCCCTCTAAGATCAATTGAAAAAATAAAATGAACTTGTTCCATTAAAAAAAAAAGAATTTTTCCTCCCCTTAAGATGCTCTCCCCTCCCCCCCCAGCTACAGTAACATAATCAAGATCAGACACTTGAAATTTCTAAAGAGATACAATCCTCCCGCTGGTATGAACCAGGCCGCATGGCGGGCATATGCACGGGTTGCGGGCTCGATCACCAGTGTAGGGCATGTAGGAGGCAGCCAATCGACGATTCTCTCTCATCACTAATGTTTCTATCTCTCTCTCCTTTCCTCTCTGAAATCAATAAATATACATATATATTAAATAAATGTAGTTATGAAAAAAATATCACAATAAGATAAGTGTATGTGCTGAATGTTTCCCTATTGGGAAAAGAAGTTCCTTTGATATATAAAAAAAGAAAATCAGAAAAAATCTCACAAAATTAAAATAATAAAGAAAACTAGTATTAAAATTATTGGTTTGCAAGTTAGTCTTACTTGGTAAGACAGTACAAATAATACAGGCACTCAAAATTTATTATTATTAATCCACATTTTATTATACACATGTACAGGCACCTTCATATAGTTAATCCACTTTATAAAATATCAGAAGTTATCATTCCAACTATATTGACTAGGAAACATGCTCATAAAGGGTAAGCAATTTGCCCAGGATTGATTACTTGGCTCATGAGGTACTGTCTCCCTCCAAAGTTCATACTCTTTCTGTTTCATGCTGACTCCCAAAACAGCTTTTTTAATATCCCTCAATTTTTCTATTTTATTTTATTATTATTTTTTAATCCTCACTTAAGGATATTTTTCCATTGATTTTTAGAGAGAGTGGAAGAGAGAGGGAGAGACAGAGAGAAACATCGATGTGAGAGAAACACACCGATAGGTTGCCTCCTGCACAAGCCATGACCTGGGCCCGGGCCGGGGAGAAGCCTGCAAACTGCGGTATGTGCCCTTGACCGGAATCGAATCCGGGACCCTTCAGTCCCCAGGCTGACGCTCTACCCACTGAGTCAATCGGATAGGGCAATCTTTCTATTTTAACTTAAAAGATCATTCCTTTACACATCTTCCACCTTGGCTCAACTCTGTATTATGTGCTGGCACCACAATCACTCAGGGAAACTTTGTCTCAGAAGCTCCACTTTGGTACAAGTACTTTGATGTCTGCTGCACCTATCCAGTCCTTGGACCAGCATATAAGAGCCACATGCAAACAGTGGGAGGATGAGACGACACTAATGAGAATGCCTTCAGTCTTCTGGCAGTTCACCCTGTGGGGTGGCTTCCCACCCCAGCCAAACTTCACCAACCTTGCCAAATTGGCTAGTATAAGTCAAGCAAGCTTTACACATACCTTTTCCCTTTAAATTTTTTAACAGGTAACAAATTATTGTTTAAAACATTTTTAAGTGTCATAAACAGATCAGTTAAGAGAAATGATTAATGAAAAGAAATAACACTTTTCTTCAGTGAAACCTATCAGGTATATCATAACTAGAGTACACCTTCTTGTAAAACAAGCACACTTCTCGGGAAGTGTGTCTAGGGTTTCTGTATTCTAATATTTCTGACTGTGACCTTGAGAGAAAAACCATTGCCAAATTGTCTGTCTCCTGGTCAAAATAAATAAACTCTAAACTTAAAACTCTGCAAACCAAGAATGTTCTGTATCTTCCAGCAATTCTTCTATAAAACATTTAGAAACATCCTTAACCACAAATAGAAACCAAAAGGTAGCTGTGTTTCTAAATATGAGGTGGACATGCTGCCTAATCCATCTGGTTTAGAAAACATACAAAGGGGGGAGGGCGAGGGGGACAAAGTACAACAAAACTGTGTTAAATGAAATCTGACTGACTCAGAATCCGTGATAATCGGAAAGGGATCTGAACAAAGCTTAAATACTTAAAATGTCCCTGTATGTCCATACTTCAGACATAATTGTTCCCCCTGAGAAAATCACATACGATGCCTTTAAGCTCCAATTTCTCTACTACCTACATTTTTTCCAACATACAAATGTCTGCCTGACCTGGTTCCTTTCCTCATCAAACTATTGATGCCCAGCCACATAAGCATAACCACTCCAGAGTTCTTTATCCTCTGAACTTCTAAGGGATAAAAAAAAACACACTCCCAGGCTACCAACAAAAGAACTCAGTTAAGATTTAGCATGAAATTCTAACAGATACCTATACTCTTTTAACCCTTACAATCTTTGAAAAAGATCCACATTTTGATTCATAAAGAGAATAATTAGATTCTATAATTTAATAACTACTTTGTAGGGGGAAAAAGGCACAATGATTTCCCATGATTAATGTGGATATTAACCATAGCTGTTACAAATGTAGTTGTGTTTCAAGGAGTTCTAGTACATGTTTTCCAAATTAAATACAAAATTTGGAAAATACACATTTGAAAATTTTTACCGAAAAACATCTTCAGTGGCTGTTACTGGTCTTCATTTTAAATGTTATCAAGATATGCTATTAAACTGTATCAAAATTAAAAAATTAAAGAGCACAGTCTAATCAAAATAAGAAGGTTATAATTATTTGAACCAAATAATATTAACATAATTTCCTTAAGGCTAAATTTTTAAAATTCTCAATAAATATATAAAGTTACACATAATCACAACTACTAGTCTACCACAAAGTTAGCAGCACTATTTAAACATAAAAGTTCTTATTGTAAAATGGAACTTCAACATAATTCTTAGTATAAACGTTTCATTCCATTTCCTACATTCAGGTACTAAATTATCATAAAGTTAAATCTTGAGACCAACACATTTAATCTACTAAAGTGATTTTAATCCACAACATTTAAAAAAAAATCGTGTTTCTAAACACAAATTACCAAGTAATTTGCACATAAAAACAAAAAAAGGGGCAATTTTAACAACTGCTAGCACTCACTTAAAATTACTACTTGTCATGAGAAATGTCTCAAAGGCACAGCAAATTTCCTTGTGAACAACAGACACCATTAATTCAGAATGGTCACTTACCACTTCTTCCAAAGCAGCACTACGCCCAAAAGAACAAGTGAGGTGTGTGAGGCAGTTCACAAAGGATGAGAAAAGCTCACTTGGAATGGCAGTTAAGACGTTTCGAGGGAACACAGTTATCAGGTTGCTGATAATGCTGGAGATCCCCACAGCTTCAGAATCTTCTATTTCAATTCTACAAACCAGGTAACAAATGTTACTGGTGGTGGAAGACAAGTTACAATAACTCATTTCCAAACATGCAAAACTTTTCACCTATTCATTCATTTTTAAAGGCATGTCTCTGTATTAATTTCAAATTATCATATAATTCAAAATATACAAAGTGGAAAAAAATCACTAGCTTTCGTTCCACCACTGTTAAGCATATAGACAAACATGAAAGTTCCTTTTTTGGTGACAAAGGGCAAGTATACCTACCCATTGATAGTACTCAGTAAACCCTCAATGAAGTGTGCTAGGTAGTCAACCTGTGCTCCTTCATCGGGGAAGACAGGTCCGTGCAAAGAAGCTAACTGGGCGAGGCACTGCAGAGAATCTTGTGCCATATCTGAATCTTCTCTGATTTTTCGATGTACCTGTTAGAAAGAATTACTAATCCATAAAAATAAATTCTTCTTTTGTAAGGGTCACATGTCTATCATGCTGAATGAGGTAAGCGAAAACTTCACAATTGCTGGTTATTTCTAGAAAATTAATCCCTGAATTAAGCTAAATTTGAGAATGTCCCTCAGTCCACTTTACATTATAGTCCATGATTTCAAACATATCAATTAATTTTAACTGAGGGCTACCTACATTTTGAACATTGAATTGTCTCCAGCATGCTATGACAAAGAGAGAAACAGATGCTAGCCAGTCAGGCATACTGCTTCTTCTAAAAACAGCAACGACAGTCATCTGTATTATGCTAGCTATGCCTCGCTACAGCTCCTTACTAAAGTTAGCAGACAAGTTCAATCAAGAGTATACAGATGCTGCTTTAGTGGAAGTAAACAGTTGCACATGGAGAAAACCAATATACCACTCAATTCCTAGACATTCATTCATTCAACAAACATAAAGCACTCTCTCAATAACTCTTGAGATTGCTTAAAATTTGTTTCAATCTCATTTTACCCTACATCATTAATATATGCTAAAATATTTAAAAATAATTGTATTTAAATTATATTTAAATCCACCTTAAACCTCATCTAGATTTTATTTCAATGATACAATGTAGATGTGAAACACCCAGTATACATATAGTGTTCCTATATTGCTCCCTACTTTTACAATGTTACTAATATTCTCAGATTTTAAAGATGCTTCATTTTGCCTAGCCAGTTTAGCCCAGTGGATAGATTGTCGGCCTGGTTCCATTCCGGTCAAGGGCACATGCCTGGGGAACATCCCCAGTGAGTAGCGTGCAGGAGGCAGCCGATCAATGACTCTCTCTCATCACTGATACTGCTACCTCTCTCCCCCTTCCCTTCCTCTCTGAAATCAATTATATATAAATTAAAAAAATAAAATAAAGATGCTTCATTTCTGTGAGCTCACCTAATTAAAATTGCCAAGGAAAACAGTAAAGAATTTGTGACCATTTTCTACTTTCCATAAGCATCTAACTTCTTCAGCCTTTCTTTTCCTACATAAATCTCTTTGCTTTCTGAATGTAGCATAATTTTAAACATTTATTCTCTTTTTGGTTTAGGTTATGTTCACTTTGACTCTGCAAACCATAATAATTATTTGAAGTCAGAACATGTCTCTTAAGTATTCACTGGTATAGTGCTGGGACACAGTGAACAAATACTAAAAAAATCCTTATTCACCACTGATTCCATTAAGATTTAATCCCTGAACTTAAGGTTCTAAGAAACTTAAAATACTAAAAAGTCACCAAGTTAACTGATCTACTGGCATATTTTAAAATGTTACCCTCTTTGGTCTAGAGTAGTGGATGGCAAACCATGGCCTGCAGGCCTAGTCTAGCGTCCCGCCCATTTTGTATGGCTGTGGTTTTGACATTTTATATGGGGGAGGAAGGGGGAATAATCAAAGAATATTTTAAGAAATGTAAAAATTATGAAAATCCAGATTTTTACAGAAGTTCATAACAGTTTTACTTGAACACTGCCACACTTGTCTGTTTGGGTGTTGTCTACAGCTACTTCTGTACGACAATCAAGCTGCCTCAGAGAACACATGTCTGCACAGTCTAATATTCACAAGGGCCTTTACAAAAAAAGTTTGCCAATGCCTGGTCTAGAACAATGCAAATGTTTTTCAAAATATATTCTATATTTTAAGTTTTATATAGCAAATGTGTAAACTATACAAATTCCTATGCCCACATTGTCTAATTCATGTAGTTTTGAACACAACTCATTTGGAAGTTCCTTGTCTGAAAACTAACTGATTTTCTGTCATCATGCCCTTGCATCTAACATTAAACATGATATCCGGGGATGCATATCAATGGATGCAATGCAACGTGGGACAACAGTGGGTTTCTTCTCTGCCCAGAGAGCTAAATGGTTGCTTGTTCCTGGTCTAGTAGTGACAAATCAAAAGAAAGAATACCTTTAATGAAATAACTAATATTGACTATGTAGTAAAATAAAAATAAGAAACTGTCCTCAGAGCCTACCTGTACTGCTCTCTGAACTATGAGCCACATATAAACTATTGTAAAACAATATTCTTACATAATATAGTAGGTTCATGCCTTCTTCTAATTTCAGCATTACAAAGGAGTTCTACTATATCTGAATTACACTCTACACATTTAAAACTGAATTCATCGCCCAAATAGGAAAGAAGCAGAGGGATAAAGAAAAGCCAAGTCTAGCAGAAAATCCAGAGAAGTAAATAAACTATGAAGCAGGATAAGGATGAAGACAAGGAACAGAGAGAGCCAGTGAGTGAGGTGATGATTCCTATGGAACATGCTGACCCTGAGATGTCTGTGGACCTTCCAAACACAAGCCTCCAGTAAGCACTAGGATTACAAGGCCCTGGACTCTGGAGCAGCTTGTGCTGAATATAGACCTGGGAGTCAGCAGTGTAGAAGTGGTGCCTGAGGTCCTATGTGGGGAAGGGGCAGCCTGAGGAAAGTGTATGCAGTCAGCAGAGTTCAGAACTGACATAGGAACACTACTATTTATGCGAAGAGCAGAGAAAGAAGAGACCCTAAACGAGATAAAAAAGAACCTGACAATAAGGTAGGAGGAAGAATTAATGAGATTGGTTTTTCCAACACCTTATGGAAGAGAGAAAAATTGAGAAGACTATAAACTTTGGAGGGGCAAATCAATACTTTAGGTTTAAAGTATTCCTAAATTCAGATAATCAACATACTTCAAGTCTTGATTCCATGCATCGTATATTTATGTTTATCTACTCAATAAAGAAATAGTGATATCTCATGGAAAACTGCTTTCAATTAGGTAATGAATCCTATAATAGAAAATAAATTTAACAAAAACTGAATGAAATTTTAAGATTTCAACTGTCATTTCGCTAACAAATAAAATGTAAGTTGCTTATAAACTGCTTAAATGAAAGTGAGAGGCCACAAACACAAAGATGTTGAAATAAAAAAGTGAGCCCTAGCTCGTTTTCTCAGTGGTTAGAGCATCAGCGCGCACACTGAAGGGTCTCAGGTTCATTCTGATCAAGGTAACATACCTCGGTTGCAGGCTCGATCCCCAGCCCCGGTTGGGAAGCGTACGGGAGGCACCCAATTGATGTGTCTCTCTCACATCGATATTTCTGTCTCTCTCTCTCTCTCTCACTTCACTCTCTCTCTCTCTCTCTCTCTCTCTCGCTCTTCCCCTCCCTTCCACTCTCTCTAAAATTCAATGAAAAAAAAATATCCTTGAATCAGGATCAACAATAACAAAAAACCACAACCACCACCACCACACACAAAAAAAACAATAACAAAATGAAAAAGGGTTAACTTTCAAATTCAAAAGTTATCTGCATGTGGTCTTTCACAGCTGACAGGAGCAGCTGTCTGGTTTGTGGAGACAGCTGTTCAGATTTAGAGTCACCATTTCCAGGCTACCAGCAAGTTTTCCACCTTTTCATTAACTGCTGGAGTGGGGTCTACTTTCAGCCAAATGAGCAACACAAGATCTGAACTTGGATCCATATCAAAACAATTTCTGCCAGATGAGAAAGGCAACAGAATTTTCAATTTAGTTACAATGGTCTCTGATACTGACAGTGTTTTTAGTTATTATTTCTGCTTTAAAGAAAAAAAGTAAAGCTAATGCTTAGTCTGAACCTTTCACAGAAAACACCTTAATTTATACACCCATGGATGAGTAACCTTGTTCTTGAGATTCTTAAATATATACAATATTTTAAATAGTTCAACCAAAAAAGGGAACATAGTTGTAACACTAGTACATAATATTTTTAAAACATGAAAAGGCAAGAAGTTATAATTAATGGTTGGAACTAAGCAAAAATCTTTTTTTTCTTTTTAATTGGTCTTTATTTGGGTCTTTACCCTCGTCCTTAGATCTGCCTAAATAATATGCTCATGCTATAAGAGCACTCAGCCTCCAAAACACACACACAGAGACACACACACAGACACACACAGACACACACACAGACACACACACACACACACACTCTCCCCCAGCTTCTGTTTTATTGTGGTTGTGGACAAACGTGGAATATGTTGCTTACTTCTTTATATTTAGCAAATAAGAAATAGCACCATTTAAAGTTATAGTTAAAATAAGTTCTATACAAAAACCCTAACTTCATTCACAACTGATAATTCGTACATAAAAAGTACACTACTCTAGAAGAGCAGTTCTCAAAATGTGCTCCAGGGATCTCTAAGGGTTCCTAGGACCCTGCCAGGTTGTCTCGAAGGACAAAACTGTTTTCCTACAGTACTACGATAATTGTCTTTTCCATCCTTACTGTCACACATGTATACAGTGGAGCTACCCTAAGGTTATATATGGTAATACTGCGACCAACTGAAAACAGAAGCAAATATAAGATCGGCTGCCTTGTATTAAACCTAACATTAGATACAGTTGCAAAAAAATGTACAATGCTACTCTTCTCACTAAACTTTTTTTTTTGTTTACAAAAGTACAGCTATTTGTTCATTAAAATATTATGTCATGGTTTGGTATTGCTATTTTACAATGAATTAATAAATTATGTTTTAAAGTTTAGTTGAATTTTTAATATGGTAAATATTAACACATTGCAAACGGATCACGAGAATTCTCGCTCCATATTACACAGTGTTTTACAAAGTATCATACTTTAAAAAGATATTAGCTTGTAAGAACATGTAATAAATAACTTCAAAATGCAATGGGTATTTAATTTTAAAGCATGCCTTTAACATTTATGTAAAACCGTTTTTGTACTTGTTCAATAGAAACTTATCTGACCACTGGGTTAAGCTAGCAATAAAACTACTGGTCCACAATGTGCTAATAGTTACAACCCACATATACAAAAGCTCTTTGAATCCTTAATAATTTTTAAGAGTGTAAAGGAGTCCTGAAACCAAAAAGTTTGAGAACTTCAGTTCTAGGATATAAGCCCTTCATAATTCTATATACTTTTATAAAATATCAAGAACATTTCTATGTAATTTGTTTGAGTAGAAACATTGATTAGAAGCGAAGACTTTAGAGGACAAAAGCGATCTGTACATTTTTACCTAAAAAAACTACAGAATCATACACTCCTTTAGTGGCCCTTCTGTGACCTTTGCCACCGGAGAGGAAAGGTACAACTTACTGTAAAGAAAAGCTCCATGACTCTGCTGTCCAGAAGGGCCTCCCGCCAGGACTCCGTTGGCTTTAGCAGCACATTTTGTGAGGATTCAAACATGGCTATATAATGTCTGCCCAGTTATCTGGTGTCAAGGTCAACAACAATAACATTCTTACTTTGTCTAAAGTATAAATATACCCGAAATATAACAGGAGCCATCCAGAAAGAATGTAATGGAAACAGTTTAAGCCTCTTCACATATGCTACATAATTCATGCATGAAGCTTAGGAATAAAAGGCATTAAGTGCTGAAAAAAAGAATGCTAAAGGAATGTAAGATAACAGTGTCAGGAATACAGAAATTTTGATGACCACAGATCTTAACAACAGTGGTGACAGAAGGCAGAACACTAATGCAAAACAAATGCCAAAATATATACAAAAAGAGAGAAATCAATATACAAAATGTGAATCTCACATAGTCTACTTGGAAAAATACCATTTCCCCAAAAAGAAATATATTCAAGAACAAACATATATTGCATTAAAGAAGAAAAACTCCCACACCAGAGTAATCAAATACCAATTCCACACAAATAAATAATTGTATCACATAAAACACTATCAATGCTCATTTTAAAATCCCACAGACTAAAAATCAGTCTGTAGGTGTTCAGGTGCTCATATCAAACATACTTCTAAAATAATACTTTCTTTGCCATACATAAGTCACCACAATAAATTTACAAGACTTTGTGAATATAACTCTCTCAATGACACTGATATGATAACTGAAGTCTTTCAGAACTGGGGAAGACAGTAATTGCCTATCCCATAGCTCATCAAGTGTCCAGCTGAAATACACCCACTAGGCTACGTTCTCATCATAGCATGAGAAATTGCAACAACAGTTATCCAAAAGTACAGCTTGTAAAACTTAGATGTAAGTTCAAAACTGCTGTACTTTATTAAACCCCAAATCATTTATAGAGAACATTAAAGGCTGTGTCAATGTTTTGGAAACCATTTTTTTTAAATATTACTGCTTAACCCCCTTTTTAAATCTCTAATGTTATTTTGTGTCTAAAGAGAAGGGGAACAGTTGATAGTTTGTTTCAGAAGAGAGTCAGATTGCTGGGTTTTGAAAAATCACTCCACTCAATGGATGAATAAAAGTAAGATTCAAATCAGGTCCATCTCAGTTCCTCACCTGCCCCCTTGTGGAGATGTAGGAAGAACCCAACACCAAAAAAAGGTAACTATTGGAACTCAATAAAGCCAGCCTGAATTTAAAAAGAAAAGAGAAATCAGCCAATGAATACTGTTTTGGGCCTTAGCTGGTTCAGCTCAGTAGATAGAATGTCAACCTGCGGACCAAAGGGTCCTGGGTTCAATTCTAGTCAAGGGCACATACCTGGGTTGTGGGCTCGATCCCCAGTAGGGGGCATGCAGGAGGCAGCCAATCAATGATTCTCTCTCATCACTGATGTTTCTCTCTCTCCCTCTCCCTTCCTCTCTGAAATCAATAAAAATACCTATTTTTTTAAAAATACTGTTTTTGTTTTCAGTGTGCTAATCTTTTCTAAAATGATCTCATGTTTTCACTAGACATCTAAGGCTGTTAACAATATCATCTTCACTCATAACACCCTGATTGAACACAAGATGTTTCTACCTGTGGTTTTGTTTTCCAGCTCAGAACCTGGAAGGGGTTTTCTCTGACACAAAGTCTGCATTCCATCAAGAAAGCTCATTTGTAAGGCACCTCACTCACAAAGAGTCATGCTGATTTTCTTTGAAGAACCACCACCCAACCCTATTATGAGCCATTAAAAATATCATCCTATATAATAGAGGTAATATGTAAATTGACCCTCACTCCGTCATGCGGTCACAAGATGGCTGCGCCCACAGAAGAGGAAGGGTTCCCGTAACACAAGATGGCTACACCCACAGCGGAGGCAGGGTTCCTGTAACAAACCGTAACGAGCCTTAACGAGTGATCAGCAGGGACCTGAGGCTTTGTGGTCCCGGGCCAGGGCGGGGGACCTGAGGCTGTGCCCCCCGAGGCCATGCCCCCCCACCCGGCAGGGCTTGACGGGGGTAGGGCTAGCCAGGTCTGGATCTCGCCCAATGAGGGTGGGGCCAGCCGGGTCTGGGTCTTGCACAATTTCAAGGTGCACGCGGGTGGGTGGGGACTTGACTCTGTGTCCCGCAGTGCGCTCCAGACTCTGACAGGAAGAAGATTTTCATATACATTTTACTAATTTTCCTTCATCTCTGACACTTCTACGATAAAGGGCAAATAGCAATCTTATCTAATAAAAGAGAAACATGCAAATTGACCGTGCCTCTGCTATACTCACAAGCCATGCCCACAGGCAATCAGGAGCGAATATGGAAATAAACCCAACCAAGATGGTGGCAGCCACGGAGCTGGAGCGAACAGGCTTGGGTTGCCCCTGGCAATGGAGGAAGCCAAGCTTCCCGCCTGCCCTGGCCGGCTGTGGGCTCCGCTCAAGGCTACAAAGTTTCAATTATAGAAGATAAATAAATCCCAGATACTGCTTCCAGCCGCTGTGGCCTCCGCTCAAGGAGGGTCTGGGAGCCTGGGTTGCCCGGGGCTGTGGCCAGCCGGCAAACAGCCATCAGCCCCTCACCCAGGCTGGCCAGGCACCCCAGTGGGGAGCCCCACCATGAAGGGGGTGTGTGCCGCCTGATAACAAACCTCAGCCGCTAACTCATAACTGGACACACCCCCCATCGGGAATCCTCACC